CAAACCAGGGACAAGTGGAAAAAGTTGTGCCGAAACTTAAAGGTTGGTGACATAGTATTAGTAGCAGATAAATGTGCCACAGGTAGGTGGCCTTTGGGAGTGGTAGTAAGGCTGATCTGTAGTGGTGATGGATTGGTGAGGACGGTTGAGGTGAGAACAAGTTGTGGCATGTTGGTGCGAGATATCAGAAAACTGTGTCTACTGGAAGGTGCTGAGAGTAGAGAGTCGGAGGATGAAACACTAGATGATTTTCCAACCTAGAGCGTCAACCTGAGAAGGGTTGTAGGCGTACTGCTGTAAGTCCTACAATTCTTCAAAGGGTAGCGCATCAATGAGCAGTCCAATGTGCTCGGTGTGTGATTTTGTACATATGTTCATATTGTATATACTGAATTGATATCATCTGTCATCTAGCTGTTGGTAATTCTGTTTGTGTCCGGACATTCCACAACTTACAATCGTCAACCTGTGAAGGGTTGTAGGCGTACTGGTGTAAGTCCTGCGATTCTTCAAAGGAATTCCATCAAGACATGATCCGCGAGTTTGTGTGTACTGTTTGTATATATGTGTGGTGTGTCATATCAATTGGTGATTTTGGATTCATTGTGTTTACTTGTTGTTTTCGTATCTTGTTGTTATTGCATAATTTTGTTAAAATTTTCGTCGTGATTACTTCTGAAGTTGTTTCGAGTCTTCTACATCCATGAATGAATTGATTGATGTTAAGGACAGCAGATGGGTCGTATACGCCGGGGAGGCTAGGCTATTGCTGAGAATGAAATGCACACGGAGATAATTGTTAGCTGCGGTCCGACACGCCGGGGAGAAAGAGTGTAAACGACTGAGGCTCGCATGCGTCACCGTTACTAGAACTGAGGCAGAATGAGTGACAAGCGATTGCAGTGGTAATTGGTAGTGAGTAGATAAGAGGATGTGCGTAGAGTATCGTGAGGTGGTGCTATGGTCACGTTGCATTCTGCAAGAGTCATTCTAGCAAGTGGCGATTGTGTTGCAAGATGTCAAGAGGATCTCTTTAACTGGGAGGCGCAGGTCGTCAGCGATGTGTGAGATTGTGCTGTGGGTATGCTTGTGGTGTGTTGGCTTTTCTGTTTGTTTTCCATTTCAGCTCTGTCCGTGTGACCCAGGTTCTCGCAATGGCATCCAAGTCAACGTGTATTGGTCGTGAAGGAAAAAAGGGTTGGATCCCTTTTTTGCCGGGGAGTGTCAATGGAGTTGAAGATTGAACGATCAATTCATGGTTGTTTGCTCAAAACCAACTTCCCCAATTTTCGCGGAGGCATCAATACGACAGTCATCGTCTCATCGGTCGCTGTTCAGAAAGAAGTCAGGAGACAACCATCAGAAGTAATATTGTGATTTATTATTGTAATATTTGTTCACAGACCCTAGTAAAAACATTATTTTTATATGTTGGTGTAACAATAAAGAATTCTCAATTGGCCAATCGGTCTTTTGGTTTTTTCGTCCGTTATTACTAAGCGTTTCTGAGAAACTTCAAGCGACAGCGTGGGCCCGACCGTAGCAAGAGCTGGGCATTAACGGTTTATGAGACGTGGCTGACAATCACACTGACGGTCTCACAAGTATGTATGCCTTCTGCAACTGCATCTGCATTTATTTCTACTTCGCGTTGTGGTTGTACAGAACCTTTGTTCAACTTAGCAGTAGTAGGCACTCCGCTCATTTCATCATGATCAACCAAAGACAAATGTGAAGTATCATGATCATTATCACGAATGTTCACTTTACCGTCAACTTCATCATTTTCAAACTCTTTAATAACAAGAGTAGATGATTTTGGTTCCTTCTCACAAATCCCCAAAGATTTTATACCTTCACTCTGACTAGTAATACTTTGTAAACTTGTGGAGTCTGAACTGCACTCTGAAGCAGTAACTCTATTCTGTGATACTCTATTCAACAATGGCTTACCAGTTGCAACTACAGACTTCTTCACCGCACAGTTATCGTCACACAATTCGGAGTCAGGCCTAGAGTTTACATTTAGCTTACCACTGAACTTGCTCACTGGTTCACAGTTCACTTCTGTATGCACCTCTTGCAAACGTGTAAAACACAACCGTGTTTGTCTTGCATCTTGTAACTTATCTGTTGAGGATGTACTACGAAACCTGTTACACTCACTAGGTCTATATGCATTACTAGACATCATGGAGCCTTCTCGATATCCACCTCTTTGAGGCCCTTTCGTCATCAATGATTTCATTTTGCTCTCAGACTGCTCTATTCTAGGGGTGAGATTCAATATACTGGCAAACTTGCTCATAGATTGATTGACACTATGTTTTACTAGTTTCAGGATATCATCAAATTTCGGCTCGATACCCTCATCCTCCATACGGGAGCTTATCTTCACTCACTTCCTTTGCAGTCGAGTAGGTAGGCGTCTTGCTATTACTTCTAGTATAAAACTCGAGTTGAGGTCACTCATGCAATTCATAGAAATCAAGGTATTCTTATAAGTCATAAGATTATATAAAAACTCGGTAAGTGCCTTGGAGTCATCCTGTACTTGACCACCATTACCCTTAACAGCCTCGAATAGTGTCCCTAGAATCATCGAAGGTCTTCCAAACCTTTGACGTAGTATGCTCATAGCCTCAGCGTATCCCTCATTAGGGGGCATGAGCTTACAGCACTGTATAGCTCTTGAAGCATCTCCAGTGCAATACCTCATCAAATACATCAATTTCAATTCATCACTTAATAGAAAACTACTCAGCATGATCTCAAACTCCTTGACAAATTGTAAATAATCAGCCGGGTTTCCATCGAAACACCGTGGTTCAAATTTAGGGAGTTTGATGTTCCTATTATCCCTGAACGGCGAAACAGTAACATCAACCATGTCATGCTTAACATCAGACACATCGTTACAAGTAACAGACAAGTCACCATGACTTACTTTCCTGTTTTCATCCAAGACACTCTGTCTTTTCTTTGACCCAGGCATTGTTGAACTTGACCCAATTCCAAAAACGTTCCAGATATTGCTTGTTCAAAGAGGACTTGACCGGCACCAGGAAAGATGAACGGTGACTATCCAAACTTTCACCAACTGTCTGAATCCGCCAAAATCTATTTCACCGACAGAAACTGTCAGTCACGTCTCATAAACCGTTAATGCCCAGCTCTTGCTACGCTCGGGCTCACGCTGTCGCTTGAAGTTTCTCAGAAACGCTTAGTAATAACGGACGAAAAAACCAAAAGACCGATTGGCCAATTGAGAATTCTTTATTGTTACACCAACATATAAAAATAATGTTTTTACTAGGGTCTGTGAACAAATATTACAATAATAAATCACAATATTACTTCTGATGGTTGTCTCCTGACTTCTTTCTGAACAGCGACCGATGAGACGATGACTGTCGTATTGATGCCTCCGCGAAAATTGGGGAAGTTGGTTTTGAGCAAACAACCATGAATTGATCTTCAACTACATCGACATGTGTATACAGGCCGATTTTATATGTACTTCGCAAACATTTGTCAATTTACTATTGAACATTACCCTGATACAATTTCGAAATTTGACTACTGCTATAATACGCGATCGTACTCTTCGCAAGTGCCTTTTGGTTTTACGTTGTGGGCGTCGAGTAGCCACAACGTCTGCGCACATTAATAAAAGTGAAGAAGTACTAGAATATACGTGTACGCAAGTTTAGTCAAATAACGCGCGCAACAAGCTATGAGTCCTAGTTGGTAGACTTGCTCGCTGAAACGCGCGCACGTTACGTTTTTGAGTTCTAGGTAAAGTAATGACGCAGGACGAAAGTAATGAGTGACTCACACAATGAAACGATATATGCCATATGAACATCACTTTGAAGAATAGCTGTGGGCTTTCAAAATATTGACCAGTATGTGGCTCTTTGTTATGCCCTTTAGGACTCCCGATTCTCGTATATCCTCAAAATAAATGTTTAAACTTGCTGAGTAAGTTTCAATATGCAGCTACTGTAATCAATTGTTCGAGGTGAGCCAATAAGTCGTCTGATCCGCTCACCACGTCGATGTCTCTGTAAAGTTGACATTGCAAATCATAAAGCATCTGTGAAATGAACAAACAAGTCTCCCACATAATGTTTTCAATTTCATCACTTTGAGTGTAAGTAGACTGAAATTATCCAGCATGCTCAAGGTCATTGACGGAGTGAGACGCTGAAAGGTCATTTTCGTCCATATTAGTCAGCCATGTTGGATTGCATTTCCGTAGCCGTTCATTTATACATCGACTTTCCCGTTTATCCTGCATTTATTAACAACTTATTTTGATGCGCATTGTTCATAAATGTTGTGTTTCACCTCATTTTGTTTGCGTTGCTGTTAAAATTACTAATTTCGTATGTTTCGGAAGTTTTTACCACCAGGGCAGTGCATTCATTCTATTACAATTACATTCAATTACGATCATATAGCCCACATTATACTGCGCCAATCAATGTAAATATGTATTAAATCCACTTACAGATAACCTTTCAACTTACCATTATTCCTGTCCATACACACATACGGTGAAAGACACATCTACATCATAACTTCTGTTTCCACAGGGGGTTCTGTTGGTATTTGTAGGTGATTCCCATGTATTGATAGCATTTTTTTCCAAATAGTACTGTTCTTCACACGAATTTAGCCACGTTTAGACGTGGTCTTCATTGAATGATATTATGTCGAAAGCTGCAGCTTCTGCAAGAAGTAAACTATTTTTGTAGACGACACTACTCTCCAGCTACCCCATCTTTTTCATTATACCGATGTTTTAACTCATTCAGCATGAAAAACTAATCGTTACAACCCATACGCTTAGAGTGTATCGCAGTTAGATTACATGACGTGGACACCAACATAACTCGCCAGGAAAAGAGAATTCCTATCGATTCAGAAAACATATACGAAAATTCTATTGAAAATTATTGACAGAAAAATTTACCGAGCAAAATCTAACCAACATGCCGGATAAGTCCAGCCGTGTAAGTATCACACTTTGAAATTGTTCAATAGGTATTTGAGTGAAGCAAGGTGTTCAGTTGTGATCTGTTTTCGTGGTTTACCGCGGGAAATTCACTTTTTAGCAATCCCACATTCATTATAACTGACATTATGCTTTTGTCTGTCCACTAATTAAATAAAGAAAGAGGCTACAGTCAGTTTCTAGGTCATGATGAGTTCCTGCGTCGGCTAGTTATGTGTTTTCGTGAATTCGTTTTCCATTGAATTTTAAAGGTTTTTCTGGATGTTTTGCTCATTTTGCAGTCTGTAGGTCAGTTTTTGTCACAGGGTGCTACTATTTAGCTTATTTTTAGCCTGAAGTTCACAGTTATTATGTTGGTAGTCAAAGATTATTGTAAACCTGCAATCATTGAGCTAATTAACGTATACTATGCTAATATAGTAACATAGAGTATGCTAATAATAGTAACAGTAGACTCCCTTACTGTTTTGCCATTGTTTGATAGTGAACCTGTGCGCTGATATTTCAGCATGAGTGGCACTAAATCGAACCTACTGGGTTTGCTTATCAACGTTGTTCCAGCCCTCACAGGACATATTAAGGATGAACTAGCGTTACTCCAGAGTGGAAAGTTTTGATTCAGCACGCAGCTGTCTTTTTAAGCACGACCTGTGTCATTTCAGAACATAGTGGGTAAATATGTTCTTCAGTTACCATAAAAAGGCATTATCGAGGAATAGGTTAGAATAAATTTAGAATTGTTTTAAGCTTGGTGGTGCTGTGGTCTAAGTGATAAATCGTATTAATCACCGTTATTCAGCATATGCTATGAACCGGAAATCCTCAGCTGAAAAACGTATGAATAAGACACAGATCGGTGTAATTTATAACGGACTCCAAATCGCTCTCATCACAAAACAGTCAACCAAAGTATGCTTTAAACTGTCGCTCTCAGCCGTTTGAAGGGAAATTTACTTGATTTATGCTGACGTAGTATGCACAAATCCCAAAGGTCATTGAATTGACAACTTAAAAAAGTAGATTAGTTGATACATACATTTATCTATATGTACTAATTAAGGATACATTAAATTTTTAGAAATTGTAGTTAAATTTTATTCGCCTAGTAATCAAAAATGCATACATCCTATTTTGGGCTTAAAATAAATGCATCCAAATTATTGTTGATTTATATTCAGTTACTAGACATTCTCATACATCTTAATGTACTTTAAACACCACCAATGCATCCAAATAGCGTGTGACTATCGCACTACACTCATACCAAAAAAATTAACACGCCATTATATAATGGTAAGGTAAGCCCTAAATCATACTGACTGTAAATTTCCGTGTCAAAATAAAAAGATTACCGCTTTAACTTATATTTTAGACCAATAGGAAGCCAGCTAATCAACAGCCAATCAAAATCTGCCTATATCTATTTTCCCACATCAGGTAGTTTTTCGTGGTGCACGAGGAGTCAGCCCAGCAGGTACACCAAGATTTTGGAGAGTGACACGAGAAATATTCGACGCAGCAGTGCATCAACGACAGTTTCGTTCTTCTCAGTACAGGTGAGTAATTAATTATATTAATATAATTAATTACGCACTCAGTCTTGGAACAATTCTAAACTTATTCTAACCTATGCGTCGACAATGCCTTTTTATGTTAAATGAAAATCTCATCTACCCACTTTGTTCTGAAATAACTCTGGTCTTGCTTCAAAAGAGAGCTAGGTGCTGAATTAAGTCTTTTCGTTCTTAAGTGTACTAGCGTTATGACACTAGTCCGTGCTTAATACGTCCACTGAGGGCTGAAACAACGCTGATAAGCAAACCCAGTAGGTACTGATATACTCCTGCAAATGCTTAGAACATATTCAGAATATACTCATATAGGATGTTAGAATTACTTAGGATTTTATTATTTATTATTGTTCCTTTGGGTTCGTAGTGGAACGTCTCCACTTGCTTCTGTCTTCTCTACTTTTCACCTGCATCCATGTTAGTCCATACTCTTTCAACTCCTCTTCACACAATCTCCTCCATATCATCCTTGCACTGACGTCTCACTTGCCGTTTCCCTTTCGGGTTCCACTCGAGCAATGGCCTCACGCGCGCGCGATGTCACCAAGCGGCCTCCTCAGCGAGTGTCCAATCCATCTCCACTTTCTCCTGCATATTTGTTGTTGTTTGGCGATTGGTTCTTGTTTTGTTTGTTCCCATAGTTTCTTGTTGGTGATTCTTTCCGGCCCGGCCATCCGATCTTCAGTATAGAGCGAAGACAGTTGTTGTTGATAAAGGTCTGCAACAGGCTGTTGGAAATATTCTTTGTGACCCTCCAAGTTTCTGATTCGTATAGAAGAACTGATTTTACGTTTGTATTGAAAATCCGAATTTTGTTGTTGATGCTGAGTGACGAAGATTTCCAGATTGGTTTCAGGTTGACGAGTGAATGTGTTTCTCGCCTTCCCAATTCTCGCTCGATTTGACATCCTCATCCGTTCCGACTTCCTGGAGTTGAAACAATGCTCCCCCTTAGATAAGTGAATGAATTAACCTCTTTCAAATCCCTCTCGTTGATGGTGATTGGCGCTGGATGTTGTTGCTGCTGTTGTTGGTTGGTTATTTTCATCACCTCTGTCTTGTCTATGTTTACCTGAAGTCCTGTCTTTGCTGCTTCTTCGACCAGTTTGACGGTTTTCGCTTGTAAGTCTTCGATTTTGTGTGACATCAAACATAAATCATCCACGCGCGAAATGCAGGTCTTCTAGGTTCTTCACGTCGGTCCAGGATATTCCTATCTTCTCGTTTCCCACAGTCTGACGCATAATCCAGTCCACCACAATTAGGAATATCATTGGTGATAATAAGCAAGCACCCTTGTCTGACTCCTGTGTTTACTCCAAACGCCTCGCTGAGTTTCCCGTTGTGGATCGCTTGACATGTGCCGTTGTCGTACAGCTGTTGAATAAGGTTGATGAATATTTGTGGTACGCCCTAGTACTCGAGTAGTTTCCAAATTACTTCGCGATCAACAGTGTCTGCCGAAGGCTTTCTCAAAGTCTATAAAGTTGAGGTAGAGGTTTGATTGCCATTCCATGCTTTGTTCTGTGATGATGATGCGTAGAGTTGCAGTTTGGTCGGAACATGATTTGCCTTTCCTGAATCCAGCTTGTTCTGGTCGAAGTTCTGTATCCAGTGCGTCCTTTAATCTCTCCAGGATGATGCGACTCAGGATTTTACTTGGCGTCGATAGAAGCATGATTCCTCGCCAGTTCTTGCAGAGTGAGGCCTGAGTCGCCCTTCTATGGTAGTTGTTTCACGAGGTAACCTTTCTTCCAGTCTATAGGCACCTTTCCCTCCTTCCAGACCTTTTGCAATAATGGAGTCAGCATGTCTGCTGTAGTCTCTGGGTTCGCTTTCAGTGCTTCAGGGGTATTCCATCTGGTCCGGATGCTTTTTCAGCTTTCAGAAGCTTGATTGCATTCAAGACTTCAGTTCTCGTTGGAGGATTGTTGTCAACTTGCAGTTGTGTACGTGCTGTTGTTGGTATTTCTGGACGGGTTGCAGGTGGTGGTCGGTTCAAGAGTCCTTTGAAGTGCTCCGGTGGCACAGTGGTTAGGACTCTCGCCGACCATGCACATGGTCCCGGGTTCGAGCCCTCGCCGACGCACACCTGATATCAATGGTCGGCCTGCGAATTTTGGGCTACCGATATCCACGCTGAAAATTCCATACTTGTACCAAAAATAAGGTGTGGAATCAAGCTGTAATCAAAAAAAAAATTGTTTAATCTGTTTTTCTTCCTTGGCAATTGGGTTCCCTTGGCTGTCTTCTAGAAGTGTCGCTTGTGTTGTTCTCTTCCCAGATAGAGACTTGGTTATCTGATATAATGTCGTCAGGTCCCTTTTGCCTGCTGCCTTCTCAACTTCAGTGGCCAGGTTGTCGTAGAATTGTTTTCTGTCCTTCCTAACACTCTTCTTCACTTCTTTGTCTAGTGCTGTGTAAGTTAAGCTCAGCGTCTCTTTCTTTTGTCCGTCTTTGCATTGAATCATTTTCTCTTTCACCATTCTCCTCTCTTCTATTAGCTTCCAAGTGTCCGTTGAGAGCCATTCCTTGTCTTGTCTCTGCTTTCTTCCTAAAACCGTTGAACACGTTTCGTTGAGAATCGCCTTCAGAGAGTTCCAATGGTCTTCCACGCATGATTCTTCAGTGATGTCGCGTAGTGTTTCCTGCTTTGCTCTGAAAGTTGCAGTGAAAGTGTCCTTTGTGGTTGTGTCCTTCAGCTTTTGAGTGTTGAACTTGTATTGTAGCCTATCCCCAGGTATCCTCGAGGCTTTTAGCTTCACCTTGAAAGTCCCTTCTACTAGATAGTGGTCTGAACCCACATCTGCTCCTCTCCTTGACCTTGTGTCCAGTAGGCTCCGTCTCCACTTTCTTGAAATTGAGATGAAGTCTATTTGGTTTTTGGTGTTTCCATCTGGTGAAATCCATGTCGTCTTGTGTATATCCTTGTGTTTGAACACACTGCCACCAATCACCAAATCATTGAAGGCGCAGAATTCTGAGAAGAGTTCAACAATGTCGTTCATTTTGCCGAGGGCCTCGCGACGCATGGTGAGTTTTCTTCCTGTGTTGTCTCCTCCCAGCTTCCCATTCATATCACCCATTAGGATTTTGATACCACCATTTGGGACGCTGTCCATTACTGTTTGTAGTTGTCTGTAGAAAGCCTCCTTCTTCTCTTGTTTTGAGACGTTTGTAGGCGCATAGCATTGAATGACTGTAACTTTCCTTCCTTTTGAGTTGAACCTGGCTGTCGTTATCCTGGAGGAGATTGGTTCCCACTAAATGAGAGCTTTGGCTGCTGTTGGTGACATCATGATGGCCACTCCCTCGGTGTATCTAAAATCTTAGGCTCAATAATCATGCGTAGACTGAGTGGTGCTCTGGAGGCACAAGCACGAGAGAGCCAGGCAGGCTTTAGACCAGGAAGAGGGTGTATTGTTCATATCTTCACCCTCCGACAGATTCTAGAACATAGTCATTCCTACCGGCGTCCAACAGTCATTATATTTCTTGACCTAAAGGCAGCATTCGACTCTGTCGATCGAGAAGTTCTCTGGAGATTCTTGGCTGTAAAGGGAACCCCGAGAAAATATATTGCACTGATTAAGGTACTCACTCTACTCGTACTCATGCCATCAGCCAGGTGAGGGCTTACGGCGAGATGTCATCTGAACTGGTGACGACTAGTGGTGTCCGTCAAGGATGCCTATTATCCCCTTTTCTATTCAACTTCATCATAGATGTGTTAATGAACTTAACCCTAAGTGACTTCAGCGACTCAGGGATTGACTTGCTACCAGGGAATAATCTCGTTGACTTGGAATATGCAGACGATATAGTCCTTCTAGGTGAGGACTCTGACAAAATGCAGAGTCTTCTAAACACCTTGAGTCGCAATCTAGGAATGTTTGGCATGCGATTCGCTCCCGCCAAATGCAAGGTGATGTTACAGGACTGGACTACACTGACTCCTAGATTAGAAATAGGAAGTGAAGTGGTAGAGCACGTTGACCGCTTCACTTATTTGGGAAGTACCATCAGCCAGTGCCAACGGGTTGATCTCTGACGAAATCTCAGCATGAATACAGGGGGATCGTTTCGCATTTGCCAGTTTACGCCGTCTCTGGCGTAGACGAGATGTTCAACTATCGACCAAAGGGCGGGTGTACTGCTCATCAGTTCGCTTCGTCCTCCTTTATGGCCAGCTGTGAGACCTGGCCACTGAGAGTGGAAGACATGAAAAGGCTGGCTAGCTGTCTTTGATCATAGGTGCCTGTGCTCTATTTCCCGTGTGAAGTGGCATAATAAGGTGAGCAACATGGAGGTTAGGCGTCGAGTTCTAGGTAAACTGGGGAAATCAATCGACGAAGTCGTGAAGCTACAAAGACTGAGATGGTTAGGACATGTGTTACGTATGCCAAGCCATCGCCTCCCTCGACGAGCAATGTTAGCGGATATAGGGTCAGGCTGGAAAAAAGCTAGCGGCGGTCAAACAAAAACTTGGTACCAGTCAGTGGAATCCACAACAGTTAGTCTAAGCCAGTCACGTAGAAAGGTGTAGACTTCCAGGCTGTGGTCCTCGGGACGGTAAAAATCTATGGTTGGAAACAATTGGTGACATGGCTCAAAATCGTTCTCAGTGGCGCAGATGCATCCACTCCCTGTGACTTATGATCTCCAATGAAACTGTTTTGTTATTCGTTATTACTATTCTTTTCTCTCACACCTCTGCTCACTGTTTCTATTATGCTTTTCTTGTACTTTCTTCTCTTTCTTCGCGTGCTACACGGAGTGTGGCGACTTGAACTTCCGCACATTTGTGCAAAGTTCTATGTCGAAAACAGACAGACAGACTCCCTCTGTGTGCTCGTGATTGTCCTCTGGGTGACTGGAATAGATTATTGTCCCTCCAGTTGGTAGATGACACCTTCCACATCCGTTCCATCTGCTGTCGCAGATTCCCAACACTTCTATTCTATATCTTCTCATTTCTGTAGCTACCCGGGCAGCCTTTCTAGTTTCGCACATTGTACAAACATTCAACGTCCCCATCCTTATTTTTGCTTTCATCGAAAGAAGGCACATCGGCTGACTGGCTTCCCAAAGGCTCTCACCAACCTGCGTCATTTCACTTCCCAGATTCCAGCGAAAAATAAGGTTGTTGTTTATATTTTTGGAATTTTTAATATATTTGTGCGTTGAAGTTTCTGTAGTTATTTGGTTAAGTTTTGAGGGTGGAGTTGCTAGCACCACGCCCCGACCCTCCCTCTTTATCCGAGCTTGGGAGTGGCTAGAAATCTAGGCGAGATTTAAAAAAAGTGCGTCGGCGGGGTATCGAACCCCGGACCATGTGCATAGTCGGCGAGCATCCTAACCACTGTGCCACCAACGCACAGATTTGATGAAATTTAACTCAGCATTATAGTAAACTTGGGTTTTAATATATTGAAATATGTATGAATTTGGACTATGATTTCATCATTTCAACAACTTGTTTCCTATACAACTGCTTTGCTTAGGATCTGTGTTTCAGTCTAGCAAGTGTCTTTGTTTCCTTCATGATTTGGATTGCATTCAACCACCAGTGGTTCTATTTAGCTCCTAGTTGGACACGTCGGAGTCTGTTGCTTATGATGTGTGAGGCGTAAAGCGAGGTAAGGCAGTATGTGAGTGAGACGAATTGTCGATCGTTCTAGATTATGTCTCCTATATTGTTTAGTAGTTAATCGAGTGTCGTATAACCTGGGCAGTTTTTATCACTACTCTTATCGCCTTCTAATCATTGGTGTCAATAGCATTCATTTTTTGAGAACATTCTGCACAAGACACATTGATGCTAAATATAATACCTCATTCTTTATTAGGCTGTTCATCGTTTGAGACGCTTAGTTATACGTGATTTACGTGGCTAAAGTTAGCTGACTAGTATCTCTTAGAAGCAGGAATACTTAGAATGCTTTTATCTTACTATGTGTTAGTTGTTGGAAAGCCACCTAATGGATATTGGTATATTTCTCGTTGCTAGTAATCATCCATGTTATTGCTAATTCTTGTGATGTTCATTTGTGATACACAGACAATGTGATCCTTAACATTCATGTTGTATTTAATTAATGAATCAATAATTGTATGACATCTTGAAATCCAATAGCCAATGTCGTTTTTACTAGCTAGTGTAAAGCTATAGTTAGAGTAGTGAGAGGAATAAGACGAGGGAGTCTGAAGGAGTGAAAAGATGAGTTTCGGTGTATGAAACTGAGGCTATCTTCGTTCATTCACAGGCTGTAAATACCGTAAACGCATAGAAATACAGATGAGAGGAATTACTTGGTTACTGTACATTACTTGGGTTAGCTCCAGATATCAGATACATTAAAATATTTAGTGATAACACCTCCTCCCCAGAACCTGTGTCCTACCTTCCAATATTTTGCACCGATGAGAAGTACCAAGCCCCCTTCCCCTAATCTAAATACTTCGTGTATGGGCATTGCTCAACGTTAAATCTGTGGCTTCTATAGTCATTAAATATGCAGTGGCGAGTACATTTAGTTACTGATACTGCAAATGAACATGAACTGACAACTAATGAAGGGTACCATACTTACTTTATGTGATGGATTTTCGTACCGATAAAGTTGAAACTTAGTGTTCTATTGTTGCATGCATGTTTGTTTGGGTTTAAGTTTATCATTCATCTTTATTGGGTCGAAATCTCTATAGTCTATGGGAGTAAAAATTATGGGACCAATTTGCAATACTGCGCACCAGTAACAAAAGTCGTTGAGAACAATTCGCCCTGCTTTCTATTAGCACGAATGGTACAGGAAATTTATGTGTATATCTGACAATGGAGTGTATCTCAGTGTGCACGATTGAGAATGGTTTTGAGCTATGCCACGCAGACCCCACTCCTCTATATGGCTCAGAGGAACTATCAAATACTTCATTGGAGTTTGATTCTTACAATATTCCCTGTGATTTCCGTGAACAGGTTTTCTAACAGAAAAGTTGGTTGTTCTCCTTGTGAATAGAATTATGTCCAAAATTTTCCCACCTCATTTCGGAATACTTTCAACGACTACGTTCTCTGCAAATAATGATAATCTAGCGATGGATTAGAAAGTATTTGATATTCGTATTATAAAAAGATGTGTGGATTTCTCTTAATTTACTACTGGGACATTCTTTCCAATTAGTAGCTAAAGTGAAACAAGACCTAAACTTTTGACACTTGATAATACTAATATTAAGTGAACTTCTAGTATAAGTTTCCTGTGCAGTTGAACATCACGTTAATCAAAAATGTATGTAGACACGACATCTTCTTCATCACATGAAGATACACTCACCAAGGATTCATTCTGGAAATATTTCACTGTGCTATTACAGGGGTTTGATAGCTTATGAAAATGTGTTGATTAAGTGCCTGATGTCTGCCACTACCTGCGCTTGATATTTATGGTATATACATTAAACTGTGTACGTAAAACTTGTGATTTTTAATGTTTCCTTCATATTTCTTATAGGAGTACTTCACACATCCCAGTTGTCCGAAGAACGCCCCGTGAGAGCGATCATGTGCGCGGTACACTAGATGAGAGTAATGTGAATGACAGCTACGGTCACTTGCGAATGAACAGGTTGGTATTGTTTTATGATATTCTTGTGAATCTTTTCCAAACTGATTTTGGGAGTGCATATTAGTGGAAAAATTGACATTTTGCCTAGCTGTCGTCCTTCTTTACCTCGCTTGGCCGGTAGTAAGCCTGGTGAGGTGGAAAGGTTGTGCATGAGGCTAGCAACCCCAACCCGTAAAATGCACCACTGCCACTGAATCCTCAAGGCTCTTGCTTGAAGCCGTATTCTCCACTGGGACCTCAAAGGAATAAGATAGTCTGTGCCTCCATTTACGGTTTAGTTTCACTATTACCACTCTTTGACAAAACAGTACACTCATTATACAACAATTTCATCTTCGATTTGTGTATATAGTGTATAGGTCTGTTATAGACATTTCTGTGGTCCATTGGATTAAGCACTTGGCTAACAGTTGACGAATGGATTGCGTGTTCATATGTCACTCCTGTCACTTGAGTCTGCACAACTTGTCAGCATCATTAGTCCTGACAAAATATATGTGACTCAATATGGTATATGAAAAATGTGTTCCAGGTAACACAGAGGTATATCTGCTTACTTAAAAGATTGTCGATATCAAAACATATAGGAATGCTGAAAAAGTATTGGATAACGCTGTTGTGATACAGAAACTGAAGAAGGGAAGCGACTTAACTTCAATTTTGAATACCATTGGAAGTTTCTGAAATCACAACATATTGGGTAGATGAATAGGAGTGGTCGGTCCTTAGGGAAGCAAAGTGAGTTGTTTTCTGCTTTGGCTTTCAATGACGTGTAGTTCTGCTTGTGTTCACGTAAATTATGCTTTACTGGTGTTTCCATTATGGGTAAATTTTGTTTTGATAAAGTCTCACAGTGTTATACAGTAATGTTTACTGATGACGTTTCGAGCACAATTTATTGCTCATAATCATATCAAGGTACTCACACGACTTCCCAACTTCATTTATATAGTTCCATTATTTTTCACTTGATTTGATTGGTAATAAAAAGTTTCCATATTTCATGTATGAGTGATGAATCATTCCTATTGCATGTGTTCGGTGTAGACTCGATGAACAAGGATTCAGTAATCTCTCTTTCTACCTATCTAGATTACTTTTTAGAATTTTAACCCTCTCCCACCCTATTGTGTCTGTCTGTCTGTCTGTTTTCGACATAGAACTTTGCACAAATGTGCGGAAGTTCAAGTCGCCACACTCCGTGTAGCACGCGAAGCAAGAGAGGAAAGTACAAGAAAAGCATAATAGAGACAGTGAGCAGAGGTGTGAGACAAAGGAGTAATAAAGAAATACAAAACAGTTTCATTGGAGATCATAAGTCACAGGGAGTGGATGCATCTGCGCCACTGAGAACGGTTTTGAGCCATATCACCAAATTGTTTCCAACCATAGATTTTTACCGTCCCGAGGACCCCAGCCTGGAAGTCTACACCTTTCTACGTGGCTTAGACCAACTGTTGTGGATTTCATTGACTGGTACCAAGTTTTTGTTTGACCGCCGCTAGCTTTTTTCCAGCCTGACCCTATATCCGCTAACATTGCTCGTCGAGGGAGGCGATGGCTTGGCATACGTAACACATGTCCTAACCATCTCAGTCTTTGTAACTTCACGACTTCGTCGATTGATTTCCCCAGTTTACCTAGAACTCGACGCCTAACCTCCATGTTGCTCACCTTATTATGCCACTTCACACGGGAAATAGAGCGCAGGCACCTATGATCAAAAACAGCTAGCCACGCTTTTCATGTCTTCCACTCTCAGTGGCCAGGTCTCACAGCTGGCCAGGTCTCACAGCTGGCCATAAAGGAGGACGAAGCGAACTGATGAGCAGTACACCCGCCCTTTGGTCGATAGTTGAACATCTCGTCTACGCCAGAGACGGCGTAAACTGGCAAATGCGAAACGAGCCCCCTGTATTCGTGCTGAGATTTCGTCAGAGATCAACCCGTTGGCACTGGCTGATGGTACTTCCCAAATAAGTGAAGCGGTGTGGTTGTGTGTTAATGCATGCATTGCGATTGCTGAGCTTTTTTCTAAATTACTTATCTTTTCAGGATCAACCATTCTTCCCTTAGCTAAATTCCTATGTTCCGACAATTCGACTACTGGCGATCTACTAGTTTAGCCTATGTAGTTGACCTAACTCACAGTCATTGCAGGGTATTTTGTAAATTATATTATTTTGTCTAATTGGGTCAACTGGGTCCTTTAACCTACACAGCGTGTCCTTGAGTGAGTTTGTAGGTTTAAATGCCACCCTAATTCCTGCTTTATTTAGAATCCTACATATGGTTTCAGATGTCCCCTCTTTATATGGTATAACTGTAGATGACTTTTATTCTCTCTTATTTACGTTATTATTACTAGTTTCACAATTATCTTTATTTTTCCGTTTGGCCTTTTCTGATCTTCCTAATGAATTCTAAAGGATAGTTATTTAACATCAAAGCCTGTTCTATCTGTTTTAGTTCATCATTTAGGTCTTTTCTTGTGCCACTTAGTGCCATTGCTCGGTTTGTTGGAGACTTAACTAAACCTGCCTTAATAGTTAACGGATGAGATGAATTAAAGTCTAGGTATCTATTAGAATGAGTTGGTTTTCTGTACACACTAGTGTGCAGTTTACCTTCTTCTATTCGTTTTTATTTTACAATCTTACATCACAGCTAATTCTCCTTGTTCATTTTCCGATTCAAATGTGAATTATATTCCCTCCACTAGTGAGTTTATGTATGTCAAGAAGCCAGAGATATGCTGTGTTTTTACCACTGTGTGTGAAAGTGTCATCCACATATCTCCACCATTTTTTTGGAGTAGGAGTAAACGTATTAAGAGCACTAGTTTCCCAGCTGTCCATAAATATATCTGCTACAATAGGAGATATTGGTGATCCCATTGCTACACCTTCTGTTTGTCTATATATTTTACCTTGGAATTTAAAGATAGTAGATGTGAGGCATAACTGAATCCCTGAAATAATTTGTTCAATGGGCAGCTTTGTCCTATGATTGAGTTCAGGATCCGCAGTTAGTTCTTTTTTAACTGCTTCTAAGGCCATATTAACTGGTATATTAGTATGAAGACTAGTTATATCAAAACTAACCACTTTTTCATCATTTTCTAGTTGAATGTCATTTAGTTTATTTTTCATCTCAAAGGAATTAGTTAGTCTAGAGTTTGAACGATTTCTAATGGGACATAAGTGTTTTGATAATTCATAAGTAGGGGTATTTCTAAAATCTACTATTGGTCGTATGGGGTAACCTGGTGTATGTATTTTAATAGTAGCATACATTCTACTAGCATTATTAGTTTTAGGCATTAAATTGAACCATTTTGACTCACCCAGTGACGGCTTCATTCTGCGTATTAGTTCCTCTGTAGATTTCTTAACCTTATTCATTATTGTGTCTACAGGCTTCTTAATTTCTTCATATGGACCAGTTTGAATATGTTCAGTAACTTTTTTGATATAGTCAGATTTATTCGGAACTACGGTGGCATTTCCTTTGTCAGCTTTTGCGATGGCAATATTTTTATCCTGTTTTAGACTAATTAAAGCTTCTCTTTCCGATTTTGTTAAGTTTGATTTTGTTTTCTTTTGGTTTTTCAGGGTTAATGCACATTGTGCTCGAACCTCTTCTGCTGTCGTCTTATCTATTGAGCTTAGTGCTACTTCTATATTAGGAATGACATCCTCTGACTTTAATTTATTAACTGTTACGTTGAAATTTAGTCCTTTCTCAAGTACTTTTATCTCACTAGAGCTTAGTTTCCTTGATGAGAGGTTGATCACCTACTTTGTTCTGTCGATAGAAGATGAAGTGTTGACATCAATTTCATTTGTTGTGTTCTTTTCTTCAATTAGTTTGTTGAATTTTTTGATCTGTGTGATTTTTGATTTTCTGAATGCTGACTCTCTAGCTTTTTTGGATGTTTCAACAACAATTATATAATGTTTGTCATCGACCATATATTTGAGTTTTTCAATTTCATTTCGTATATTATTTAGTTTCACAGTAACCCGATGTAGTTCTTCTCTTAGACATAATCTACTTACATGTTCCGCTGCCGATGTTATTTTCCTTGAAGTAATTGGAGTACGTAGACGTAAATATTTCGGAATTATATGACTTTATAAACATCGACTGTTAGAAATCCAATGATTTGTGAATCTTGCTTCATTTTGACAGTTACTGGTGTTTTTTCAGGAGAACACATGAAATGTGATCTTAGTGATAAAGAATTTCGAGCGAGATTGAGGGAACAGAAGTTCCTCCTTGTCTAACAAATAATCATAATATTTCTGTTGTAGTTGCAAAGTGTCAAAGATTTCAAAGATATAATATACAGTTAATAGGCTTTAGGACTTCAACTTCCTGCTTTCAACAGAAATTGCTCATTGAATTTCGTTCCACTTGTTATTTACGTTGAAGAGCCGTACCACACAGGTCAGAATATACACATCTAATAAAAGTGAGATGTAATTTCGCATACGAGACTTGATTACTTAGAATCGTACGAGTATATTAGCAACTCTACGAACTAATCATATCGGCTAAAGCCGAATCAGGTTTGTTCGTATTGGTCCGAATTTTCTGACTTACTTTCACGACAATTCTCCTATGGAGGGGTGTAGATAAAGTTACCGCCAACCTAAAGACTTTATGTAGGATTATGAACGCAAAGGTGGTCTTTTGCTGATACCATGGATTTGAGTTATGCCTTTGTCGTCACATAGTTGAAGATCGCCCTTTTCATACACAGGCGGCCTGCTTGAACATAGGGCTACCAAAAATTCCACCTTACAACATTTTGCAAAATTGCTTTGGTTTGCTCTTTTAATTTTGTTTTAATTTATCAATAATGTGTCCTAATCGTATTATATATAATCGCGCATTTTTAAAATCATTACAACCTACCGCGTTGTGTCATCCACAAAAATTGAGAAAAAAGCATCACTGTGGCTGGCAGCGTGCACTGAAACGTACACAAATTAATCAAATGACTGTTCCTGAACTCGTTAGCACTAATTGTAGATCCCTGTCCAACAAAATGGATTACCTTCAATCCCTAATGTATTCCAATGTTTATCGAAATGCTGGCGTTTTAGCAATACAAGAGACTTGGCTGCACCAGCATTATGATGATAATCTAATTTCAATAAATGGATATAAAGTTTTTCGCCAAGATAGAAATAGTTCCAAGAAAAAATATGGAGGAGGGGTAGCCACATATATAAACACAAATTGGTCTACATCAAATCACGTTTGCTTCAATTATTCTAATGACAGTATAGATTGCATAACCGTCAGGTGTCGCCCAAAACACTTAAGTAAATATTCTTATATATACATAACAAATATTTACATAACACCCAATTGTAGCCTTTCTAATATAGTTATGTTTGCAGATGAGTTTACTGAATTCGCTGCTCCTGCATTCGGAAACTCGTTGTCTATAGTCTGTGGTGATTTTAATTTATGTGATCACAGCTTTCTTACTTCGCTTGGTCATGAGAATCTAGTCAAGTTTAATACACGTCTGGACAAATCACTAGACCTGGTTTTCATAAATGACCGTGATGTATATGAAACCCGAAGGAGAGCTCCTTTGCTAAATTCTGACCACTGCATTATTCGTATTTTACCGAAAGTGTACGGCAAGTCACAACGAAAATTGTTTAGTCATTTAACAAAGAAGATACATGAACGTTCATATTCCCATGACAACATTCTAGCATTAAGAAGCATGTTGCATGATACCAACTGGGAACTGTTTACTGACGATAAGTTGGATGCTACTGTCTCTAATATAACCGATTATCTGAAGTTTTGTTTGGATATTTGCTGTCCTTATGAAACACTGTTTTCGAGATTTGACAGAATCTCTTCTTTGCAACTGAAAAAACTTAGAAGACAAAAAGAGAAGTTGTATAAGAATTGTGATAATACTGGTGTCCGTAAAATAAACACCCTTATAAAAATTGAAATAGAAAGGTTGAACAGACTATATAATGAAAAATTTTTATCATGTAAAAATCCTTCAAACATTTGGAAACTTTTCAATAAACTAACAAGTAAAAAACAAATGTCCGTTGATGCTTATTCTGATGTAAATGCTTTAAACAAATCATTTATCAAGAAACAAATTAATATGGTTGTACCTGATGTACCTAGTCAAGAAAATGGTCATTTTCAGGGTTTTGAAGAAAAGGATGTACTATTATGTTTGAAGTCATTAAATCCAACACACAGCCTTGGTCCAGATGGTGTACCAAGCATTCTTCTCCAAAAGTGTGCAGACATCTTGTGTCATCCTCTTACTCAAATCTTTAACGCATCATTTAAGAGGGAAACGGTACCTGCTGACTGGAAAGAAATCAAGGTTGTACCTGTACAGAAATCATCTTCTGGAGCAGGTATAAAATTTAGACCAGTCGCTATAACATCTCCTTTTTTGAAAACTATGGAGAAACTTCTTTTGAATATTCTTAAACCTTCTTTAAAAGCTTTTAGTGACCCTAAGCAGTTTGCTTATAAGTGTGGAAGAAGTACATTAGATGCAGCCATTGTACTACACCACAATATTGTTTCCTGCCTTGATAAGGGCGCTAAGTTCGTTCGAACAGCTTTCTTAGACTATACTGCAGCTTTCGACTCTGTTCCTAGGACACTTTTATTAGGAAAGATGATTTCAGCACAAACAGAGTCCTGGGCAACTAGATGGCTGTCTTCTTATTTTAAGGATAGGAAACAGCATACTGTTTTGGCTGGAAAGCGCTCCACTTCCCAGCTAACTGAAAGTGGTGTGCCTCAAGGTGCAGTACTTTCTCCATTTCTTTTCTCTTTCTTTCTGCATGACCTTCCGAACTCACCCAAAGTTAACTTCATTAAGTATGCTGATGACCTGACCGTTTCTGTCCCTGTAGTTGCCACATCGGATTGTTCCTATATGAATGGCTTCCTAGCTGAAGTTAAGGATTGGTCTCGCTCAAATGGTCTTAAACTAAATCCAACTAAATGTAACACTGTTGATTTCAGCTTGAGAAGTGAAAAAGACATGCATGGATTGATTCAATCTCATGATTGTTGTAATATTGATGGTACCATGATTGAGAGTAAGTCAAGTGTTTCTTATCTTGGCATTAGTTTCTCGTCAAATCTTTGCTGGTCGTCTCATATTCTTATAGTTTCTAAGAAAGTTTTCCGTCTGACTTATTACATAAAGAAGTTGAGACACTCAGGTATAACTCAATCTCTTATCATACAATTTATTAATTCATGTGTTTTGCCCATCATTCTTTATTGTTCTCCATTATTCTTCCCTGGGCTACTCAAGAAAGATCATATAATACTACGAAGAACATTGAGGGCTGTAAGTAGGGTCAGTGCTATCCCTTTGACTGAACTAAATGACACTGTTGTCAATAGGCATATGAATTCTTGTAAACACTTAGCTAAAGTTATCTTATCTGATAGTGAACATCCTCTTTATTCACAATTGTTTCCTTGTATCTCTTCGGGTAAGACCAGAAGAAATTTTATAAACATTTATGCTCGTACTACAAAATATAAAAATTCGACCGTTCCATATTTGGCACGAGTATTGTGTGAAGAGACAAATATCAGAAAAGAACTTTTACAACTTTTGAATCAGTAACTAAACTATAAAATGAAATGATGCATATTAATGCAAGTGTTATTTGTTATATTATTTATTTATTATTCACTATGACCTAGAAATGGTATGATTTTGTTGGGTTTTTTATTTTTATTTATTTTTTTATTATTTTTTCCTATTAACTATCAATATTTTAACATTTTATATATTTATATAATTATAAACAGAGCTAAACCATTGCAATATGTAAAAGAAACGCTGAAAATTCCATGCTGTAAATTTTTATTGTTGTGGAATAAAGTGATTATTATTATTATTATTATATCTGAGTTGCAGAATTTCTGCATACTGAAGAGTTCCATTGTGCTTTACAAACTAGTAAATAAAAGCGCATACAAGTGATTCGCAGGTTGTCTTCTTACACATAATGACACTCCTTTTTTCACAGTTATTATTATTAGTTTTTAAGCACTAACATGATACACTATGGGTACCAAGACATGCTCCACACGAAGTCTCGTAGTTTGTGCGCTGGCTAGGAGACACTGCCAAGGCGACCCGACTGAAGCAGGCGGTTGCTGTTCCCGTGTTTTTGACTTGAAGTCTGATGAAATAGGCAGTGCAGCAGTTCGAGAAGCCACATTCCCATTGTTGACGGTGACTAAACTATGTTCATACTCCATTCGATCCGATTGGGTTTGGGAACTCAAGTACACTGTAAGTTTGTAGTGTGTTTTCAAGTTCCTCTAGGTAAGTCTGGATGTCTACCAGTGCTGTTGTATGCGTTAGACGTTCGAATTCGTCCCCCACTATTGTGCAGGACACACCTGATGAGTGAAGACAGTGAACAGGACATACATGATAGAGGCTATGCATTTGTGGTCACTTGAGGGGATCTCGACTGAGAGACTGAAGTCTACCCACTCTCGGCCTTACCAGTCGTTTATGAGGACACATGCTAAACCATTCAAATATGTATTTAGTACAAATTTCTTTAGCCAATTTCACCACGATAATATTGTCACTTTTTGTATGTTTAGGAAAACTGGTGCAGTAATGTTTAAGCCATGTGTACTGCCATCCAAATCAAACGTGTGAAATATTTCTGGGGTCCCGAAGATTCGTTATGCAGACATGAGTTCACTCTTGAAGCTATCGTATAAACAGAACAACACATATTAATTTGAACTTCTTGATAGTCCTCATAAGGAAACTAGAGAAAGACTCCTCACGATTTAGAAAACAACCATCTTCATATGATTTTGTAAACAGTCCTGCTCCGGACAAATTTAAATCTTCATACTTTGTATGTCAGTACAAATGAAGCATTTGGTTACGGTAGTTTGATGGGTATTTTTAAAGTGTGTCGAACAGCAGCATCGGAAATCTTATGCTAATTGTTACATCTATGTAACGAATCGGGAAACGCAAAGTGTTCTATTTAGTACTGAAGGACTTTGGTGAAATTGACGAATACAACTGATGACACATTTGAAATGGTGATTCGGAAGATAGTCAAAATCACTATTAAGACAGAAAACATTTAGAATTAGATTTCGTCAAGCATGTGCAATATGTAATCATCTAAGGTGCTATCCAGGAGCTATCTCATCCTGTTGCTTGACTCTGACCGTAGCATGTGGCTTAGATTTAAATGTGTGTATTCAACTCAAGGTAACTGTGTCGATGATGCTGGGTTTGACTTCAAGAAGTTCGAGGTATTTGACGTGAACTTATGGTTCTGTGTCTGATGTTGGTTTCAGCGCACTGCTAAATCGTAAGGAGAACCACATAGACAATTTCACTGTCTTACCTATTATTGTGGTCAAGCAGATCAGACTGTGTAACAACCTGTGAGGTGTTAAAATCAGTTAGTAAATTCAGACAGTGTCATTCCACTATTATCTTTTGATTAGGCTACTCGTCTATCTTGTCAGTATTTCGGAGAAGAGATTTGCCATCTACGGTGTATTTCAAGGGCTAATTAAATACTGATCAGTTTTAATCTTCTGCTGTATTTACAATAAACCTAGACTATTAGAGAAAGGGCACTTATCATCGTCTTGTATAGTTTATAGATAAGGAGCGTATTATGATCCTGTGTAATCGTCATTGTTTGATGCTTGTAATAGTGATGGGGAGAATGTATGTTCACAATTATTCCCAAATAGAGATGAAGTATTTCGCCTTAACATTATCAGTCAACGGAGAATTCGAATTAACTTGAAAACGAATAACAGCTGATATATGTTGGACTATGTGAGGTCCTGTCAATTCGTTGTTCCATATCACACTTTCATTTATTCTGATGATAAGTGAGATAGATTAGAGATTTGTGAAATCTTTTTACTGAATAATTTCCAGACTCGACAATGATGATTCAGTTCTATTGAACAGCACAGGACGACAACAATACGAGTCAGACATACATAGACATCTTTCACCCAAACCACCGACAAGTCCGGGACCATCTGGACTGTGACTAGAATTGAATTGGAAAGTCTGCCAGTTAGCATATACAGAATCTAACAGCACGAACCAACCAATATTGATCAAGCAGATGCAGCTAACTCGTTCACTAGCTCACTCAACGCTTCGACATGTGTTCCGGTAATGAGGAGAAATCAGAGGAGTACAGTGTTGTCACCGGGAACCGCTTATCTACAGTTTGAGTCAGAAGTAGCCTCAACCCATACAGTCGTCGCCATCAAGGGGTCGACCTCAATGTGAGAAATGTCTGGGTAAGTTGAAAACAGCTTTGTTATTCCATTTAGAATAATTGAAATTGGATAAATGCATAACTGTAATTCAGCCAACTTTGCATATCTACTAAAGTAGGGTGATGCCTATTCCTATGGAGAGGCTTGAAGGCGATTAGATTGGAGTTCAATATGCACACGTTCTTGAATTTTGACTGCATTCTCAAGTTACTTGTAGCTATTTTGTCTATTGTGTTAATTTCGTGTACCTTATTGAACTTCTTAGTCGACAGTTACCGTTTGATTAGTCTTCTTAAACGGCGATCTAAGTGTGTCTATATAATGAAGTTGCGCTGTCTTTGTAGTTATACTCAATGATTGCTTGAATTACTTTTTCTTGTCTTGATGCAATTTACACCCTACATCTACTTGATTAATTTCGTCAGGTATGTTGATTTGTTTCCAAGTAGAGAATGACTGATGGCCTATTATTCTGACAGTGCTAGACTAATTGACTACAGGTCATGCCCTTTTAATAGAATGACTAATTTTCTGGCCAATTTTTCTACAAATTAAGGAAAATGCAAAGCTGACCACTGATCTACAACATAGGTGAAGGCAAAGGTCATTTATTGATCCGTATCTTTATTAAATATACTGTGTTGTATTCACTGATATCTGTTTAGTCATATAAATTGTCATCCGCCTGCTTCCTAGTTAATGAAGTGAATAAACCCGTAAAGTTGGCCATACTAATTACGCAACCCCACAGTTACAAATCAACATATTGTTGACAAAAATAAGTGTGATTATTTTCAACCTAACTTACTATCCATGAAATTAGCGATTTGCAAAATTAGATAGTTCAAGTTGGAGTTAGGTAACAGGCAGTGGGTTTATTTTTGAAAAAGTGTCTATTTTCACACCATGAAAATGAAATAAGTTCGGAGCGAATGCTTTTTTTCTCAACTTCATTACAAAGCTGTGCAGTTAAATAGTATTATCAAACGTCATGAAAAATTCCATGTAAACTCAATGATTCATATGAGATGATAGAAAAGGGCTTCCAGTATTAATAATAATAATAATTTCTGAACACTAGTAATCTGTGAATTTGAAGTACGACAGCGAATGTGAAGATATACCAAACGTTGAGTTTCAAGAAGGAATTTCATTTAAGGGATGCTGCGAAAGTTCATTGCAAATGAAATCATGCTACAAGAGAAAATCTGTTCGTGAGGATAGGTACAGTATTCTCCTTACATCCAAAGTACATTTTGCCGTTAAGGTTTAGGGTTAAAGGTTCATTGAAGAAGAGAGTAAGGAATGTCGAGGGATCCGAAAGTACCTGGCTGAATACACCTACGGAGTATTGCCCTTGGTGTAAATGGGAAGCATTCCTACAACACATAGGAGACAGTTCTCCAGCATGATATCATGTGTGCAATGTACTTTTAAACTTTTGTCACGATTGTACGACTTTTCGCTTATCTAAATTCAAGGTTAGTGTGACGTAGGCTATTATACTTCTACTTGTCCATCGTCACCTGTTGTTCGCAGATTGTAGAAGACTACTTAATCGAGTTTCGCAATTTATCCACTCATTCTTTCTGATATGTAATTCCACATGTTTTATTCCAGCTGATGTTAACGATCGACATATCCGTCGTTTACTCTGGGTGAACGACACCTTTCCGAGATCGAAAGTCAGTCATTTTCATCAGAATGATTATAATAAGATTAAATAGGGAGAGTGGAGTTAGACATAATCTTTTATTCGAATGAATCATATCCTGTATTATCATGAAATGTCATGTCGCGACTCCGTTGAACTTACTCCATCTACCGACGTTTGGGCAGCCAGGTTGTGTCACTAGCCCTGACATAATAGGTGTGGCTCATTGTCAATTGCAACCAACTGAGAGTGGTTGGTGAGTAACATTTGATTATTTTTATGTAGCTCATGCTCTTCATAACAGATCAGTGAAGTGGATTAATTCAGCTGGTGATGGCTAGCACTAGGCTCCTGGACGTGGGATCTCGTCCGATTTGGGAGTGGACGGCTAGATTTCTCTACATCTTCAGTGAGGTAACTCATTGAACAATGCATAACACCCTCAGTTTACACAGTCAAAGGATAATTTGAAGGATAATCACTATTGCGTTATAGGATGTAATTAACTGGTGATTAAGAGATGAAACGATTCATCGAACGCCATCGATTTAAGGATTTCATATCTTTAGAAAATCTTTGAAGTTCGACTGTTATAGAAAGCTGAGAATTATATCCCCACGAACACTTATTTTATGATAATATCTAATCGACTCTACATTTACACATGCGATGATGCCTGAGGAATTCCTCAAGGCATTATGAGCACTCCAAAAGCCTTGATTTGTGTCATTGACATACTTGTTTCATTTTGATGTGGTACTTCTTAATCGAACTAACTACTGTGTTTTTTTTACATCTAGATGAATATCGAAATAAAAATCGGCTTCGACATCTTCCTTGTTGTCATGCGTTCCGCAGGAAGTGCATCGACGTTTGGTTGAAACGATCGACGACATGTCCGAAATGTCGGGCTGGAGTTCAGAATGGGTTGGATCGCTTGAGACTTGCTGGTCTTCAACTGAGGAACAATCCGTACAGTGTAAGAAGTGCAGCAGCAGCACCTGTACGAGCTATTCGTCCACGACTGGATGCTTCTATTTCAGGTACTCAGGAAGAGGTATGTTATCAGACTGCTGTGCATGACTGAGCGTACCTTTCGTGGCATCATCCTTTGTGTCTTCACGAGTAATATGTGTATTTATGTATACCTGTACTTCCACATATGTGTATTTCGCATGAAGAGAAGGAATGGAATAAACACTAGGGATCGCCATTTAGTAAATGTACACTAAGATACGTTTTACACAGTATTCTCGAGGTGGTGAAATTAACCTTCAAGTTATTGAAGCGCTTCATATAAGATCTTCCCTACATCAGTGTGTCTCTGTTGATCATAAGCCAGTACATGAACTTATTCAGGCATAAAATTCCCTCTTATGTTTCAATATGATTACAGAGGTTGATTTATGCTCTTTTGTAGACTAAATACGAATGAGATAACTTGTTGGTTGCCTCATCACTCTCACTTTAGTGATCATTTGAACGGTCTGTCATAACACTTTTGTGTCAGTCTTTATGACAAATGAGTGTATGATCAAAATGTGTGAAATGCATTCCTCATATACACTTCATGTGTCAGATAAATTATGCCTGCCTAACTTTTCGTGTGGGAAATCATAAAGAGAACTGATTCCTCCAGATTTCGAAGTGTAAACAACCTGGAGAAGGCTAAAGTGAATTCAATGCTTAGGAATCTTAACGCTCAGTCATATAGAATATTTGATGATTTCATCCCATAAACTACAACTGACCAGCCTTCATGGTTGAATAAATCTAAGCAGAATAGAAATATTTCCTGTTACTTCTCTTGGAGTATGACAAATGCATGCATTGAATATGAGTTTACGGTTTTATGGAGAATGATTCTTGAGGAGTGACAGCTTGCACAGCTTTTTAGATGAGAGTATGGACGAAAAGAAAGTTGCTTGGCAGACTAAAATAGTAAAACCTGTCTATGTAGTGTATTGGTTGTTTCGTGTCTTCGAGAACATCTTATCAATTGGAAGACTCAGTTTATCCTGGAAGTATTTATGTTTTACGTGTGGCTGTTCTTCTTGTCAGCTGATATTCTCTCACTTTTTTCTCTGAATTTATCTACCATGGCCATCTATGCGTTTTGTAATGGATGGTTATGAACATGAATTTATCAAGGAAAACTATTACTGGGAGTGAGTTGTATTCGTCATATCCACTTCTCATAGCGTCCACCGTTTCAAACAGTAAAGAATTATTCAAATGACTGCTAAGCCAACTTTTGTATAACGATTATCATTTAGAAGTTATCGAGACTTTTGAGTTTTCCGTTATTAGTTTCTCCATGAAGTCCTACGACATACGCCTTGATGATACCTTGAGTTGTACTCCGATCTCGTTAAATAGGGGATAGTCAATTGAAATCAACTACTTTGTTTCAGTTGAAGAAAGCAGCAGGAAATTCTCATGTTCCAATAGAATAACCGTGTTTGGCGTACAAACAAACAAACAAACAGAATAACCGTGTGTATATTTGTGAATAAACATGCGTAGATTTGTGTTTCTAAATTACTATATAATGAATCAAAGACATTTTCGTCGGTCGATTATTGTGTGTAAAACAATACAGCCATGAAATGTGACATTACTCACTAGAAAAAGGCGAAATGATAAGATTTTGATAATTTGTCTGTGTATATGCGTCAATTAAGTGTTAATTTTGAAATGAGAATTGTTTGTTTTAATACAATTGACAGATTCGTACAGTGAATTCGCACACATCAACCAGTCGTACTTATCGTCTTCGGGTAAGACCTCCTCTTTCTTCTTCTTCTTCTTGTCCAATTACAATTACCATAACTACTAGTATCACAACTTCTAGAAGAATATCAGCTGACATTGTATCGACAGTATCGAACTCTCGGGTAACATATTTGTTTTCCGGTATATTTAGTTTTGCTGGGTGATTTAGACATCCATTTTTATAGCCAATTGTTTGCAATGAAGTGGATTGTGCTGATTGTTTTTTTGTTTTCGCTGAAAGCTAATCTGTCATTCCTTTTCGGCCGTTTCCTTGAAGGTCTGCCCACATTCCTGCGAATTGTTTTCGCCCACGTTAAGTCTTTGTTTTTGTTTTTCTCATGATCATGATTTGGGACGTAAACAGTGACGTGAATTTGTGTCTACCAATTATGGCTAGCAGACAGCTCTCACCACACTACTAGTTCTGTAACAGTATCTTCTACTAGTCGTCGTACAAATACTGTGGCTAGTAGACGAAATCAACGGGATGTGTTAGATTCAAATTCTGGTCAGTCAAGCACTGCTTCGCTTACATTGGCATTGGCTGTTGCTCAGTCGACTGACAGTAGATGTTATCAAAATGAATTATATCGGAGCGAGTTGCTGTAGACCTTACGGTGTCACAATAGTTGTCTGGATAGTGGTGAGACTAAACGCTGTTGCCATCATGGTGAGGGTTGCTCGTATTGTAGTGAGGTTCTAAAGTTGAAGTCTACCGTTGTCGGACAGGTATGCAGCACCAGTGAAATGCTTATGTAGGACATGCAGGAAGCTAGTTATGCGACCTTCTCACTCAAAACAGAAGAGTTCAAACAGGCTGGTTTAATTTACCATACTGCGATTCCCATCTTCTCTCAGCTGTGTGACCGTTGTTAATGATTTAAGTCAAATATACTGATGTTAGTGATTTGAAATCAAGCTGTCCAATTCACATTGAGACTTTCAAATTCTGGACACTGGACGAAATGGAAGAAAAAGCTTCGCAAACTAAGTCCTGGTTATCTCAGTCTTCGGATGAATATGGTGTATCTGAAACACATCTAGAGGAAAAAGGTGTAACTCGTGGATTTACAAACTTTCCATAACGGATGTCAAAGAATATGTTTGCTAGGTCTTGTGAACTTATCGGTGGAGCGATAGATTTCGGATATGCAGCGGTCCGGATGAACTGGTCAGTAAGAACCCGGCTGGTGCCATTTCCTGGGTATCAGTCATGCCACTCCAATGGTATTTCAGACGAAACGGGACATAAATCGTAATCAGAAGCTTTCTAGTTCCTCACGAAATTAAATCCGTCTGATATGATCCTCTTGAGAGATGGATTTATTTCCTTAGTGGAGAAGTGTAGCCAGTCTGTAAAGTATATTGGAAAAGGCTGCAGTATCGTATGCTAGTGAATCGACAACGGAAACTGACTCTCACAGCCTTGTGCAGACTGACATCTATTTATACTTAGTACAAGTTGTATCCGTGAGGACAAACATTATCCAACCGAACAACTGGAGACATTGAAACAACGGTAGACATGAAAAGTCCATATGGCTATAAGTTATCTCTGGGCAGATGCGTTGGAAGAACACCTGCGTCAGCACGAATCGTGCGTTAGTCCGTGTGTCTGCATGTGAATCAATGTGGAAAGTTAGGAGATGTGGAGATCTCGCCTATCTAGCCTCATGATGATCACACAAAAAGTGTATTTATATCTGAGTGTCAAAGAAATTCTCGTAGTGAGGTAGCTTGGCATAATATCCAGTGTTCTGTAGAAACATTGGTGAAAGTTATTGATAAGCTACGACAGAAAGTGGTAAATGCCAGCGGATTGTCTCGGTTTCATCTGAAGTGATAGAGACTACGAGAGCAGTACCCATGGGCCTGAAAATTACGAAGAGTTGAACGGCGATCAAGCGTCCGATTGATTTATAATGCTCAGCGAGGTTATTGACAGAGTGTCTTATTATGCTCACTGTTGTCTAATGGAAGACTGATTTACTGAGACTCCTGGTCTAAGGATATGGAGTGAACTGACCGAGAGAGTAGCATTAGCCTTGATGGGATAATTTCTGACAATCGTTGACATCATAATGTTGTGTGTAAACTGATCGATAAGAAACACTGGACCAAATCTTATTCGCTAAAGCTGACAGACGGAGGGTAAGCTTGTGAAGAATAATGCAAATATTTCATATTTGTGGTTCTGAAATGCAGCGCCTCTCCAACAGTCACGTTTTCCAACAATAGGTTAGGACCGACAGGTCAAAGGAGGCAGAAGATGTATCATTAGTTCACAGAGGCGTTGTTATCTACAAGTGAATAAAGGTAATACCTCGTCAATTAATCTACCAAGGATAAGAGATATTAATGAGTGCAAAAGAGAATACTTAGAGTAATTCATCCCTGAAGTAATTGTTCATTCTTTTTGTTTTCAGTCGATGACGGCTCAATAGAGGGCAGTAGAAGCAGCTATGCAACGAGAAGCAGAGTTGCGTCGAAGACAAGAGAACGAAACAAATGGTTCGTCAGGGCAGTGACTGTTACTTCTTAGCGTGTTCTTTTGGAATTCGAGTGAATGACCACTGTATTCTTCAGATTGAATAAACATGTTTTGTATTTTTGATATATATTCACTAAACATTATGAGTTAACCGTAAGATAAAATACAAACGATTGGTTTGGAGTACATTCTGTCTTTATTATTTCCACTGTTATTACTAATATTATTAGCTGACGAAATTTGTGCTCACATTTATTTGTTTTCTTCCAAATATTCCTCACTTTGGCGAAGACTGTAACGAGGCAGTTGATACTGTAGTAGATCGTTCTGACTGAAAGAGCATCAGAAATAGTTGTATAAGTAACAATAGCGACCTATTCCTTCGGAACTAGCATCTCGTCTGACATACGTTAATTCTATCTGATCATTGATAACTGGAAATACTTAATGAGAATTACTCTGACTGACTAGTTTCAACGCAAAACTTGGCGCAGATGTGCAGCAGTTTGAGTTGCCACACTTCCTCCATGTAGCTTTCGATCATCATTTCTTTCGGAGGTCTCCGGGATAAGTCTTCTTGCCTTAATCACTTCGAGTTAATAATAACTTTGACTTTCAGGTGATTAACACACAGTGCTTTCCCCACACCTGCGAGTCCTCGCGAAGTAGCTTCAGGGATAACCATACTCCTGAGAACCACACACCAGGGCGTTCCTCAGGCACAATGATTCAAAATGACTAACTGGTGATGACTGTATCTTTATGTTGTATACTCCAGGCAGTTCTTCCTTCACCGTGTTATTCCCTGGATGTCAGTCAGTAAACAGTGACTGGTTGTGATAAAACATTTACAGATTACTAAACTTGATGACAAATAACATCTCTAAATTATTCAGATAATTCCTCAAGTGTTTTACTTCGACCTGTAACCTTGTTGGGTGAAATAAAGAGGGAATATCAATGAGTTTAGCATTGGGATACTCTAGGCCTCAAATCACCGGAGAACTGAATATCACCAAATTACAGGTCTGGTCATTTTAAATTGTATCAGTCAGTGCTGCGTACGTGAATAGTGTAGAACATCCAGAATATCTTTCCAAAGAGAAATCGTTTGTTTGTTAGTGTGTTCCAGTGAATCATACTGATATGGGATGAAGTGTTTTCTTGAATGAGTAGTTTCGGAAGACATTTTAACGTTTACGGTAGATATGCGTGGCTATAGGTAACGTGATAGGCTGCTTGACAGCAGTACTTTCGATGTACATTTAAGCCGCTGAATATAATTAATTATATTGGTATGTGGATTGAACATTTAGTGAGGAAATGTAGGAATAGAAATTCACTCTGTGCTAACTGTGACTAGTAGTTAAACTGAAATATAATGAATCCATCCCATCGTTTTTAAACGTTTGAATATGTTGAAAACAAGGATTATGCAGTATTTATCCATATTTTGAGTTCAGTTATACATTTTTGTACACCTTGTGGCTTAATACACTTTTCTACTCGCGTCAGAGTGTGAACCAGCTGGCGGAATTAATTAGTCAGTACTCAGTCACCTGGAATATACAACGCATATGTCAGACTGTCAGTCACAGCTAATAGGTGAAAGCTTGTGATGATATCTATTAACCGTCTTTGGGGGAGGGTAGAACAGATATCAAACCCAGGAAGTATCTGTTGTGGTCAATAGGTCTTGGTAGACTACAGTCGACAACCAGACATTAGTGTGGCTATAACAGTTGATGGGTTTTCCTGACAAGCCATCAGATCAGCAGATTGGAGAAAACATAAACCAGCACTGTCTCTGTCTGTCTGTTTTCGACATAGAACTTTGCACAAATGTGCACCAGTTCAAGTCGCCACATCCCGTGTAGCACGCGAAGCAAGAGAAGAAAGTACAAGAAAAGCATAATAGAAACAGTGAGCAGAGGTGTGAGACAAAGGAGTAATAAAGAAATACAAAACAGTTTCATTGAAGATCATAAGTCACAGGGAGTGGATGCATCTGCGTTAGCCACTGAGAACGATTTTGAGCCATGTCACCAATTGTTTCCAACCATAGATTTTTACCGTCCCGAGGACCCCAGCCTGGAAGTCTACACCTTCCTACGTGGCTTAGACCAACTGTTGTGGATTTCATTGACTGATGCGAAGTTTTTGTTTGACCGCCGCTAGCTTTTTTCCAGCCTGACCCTATATCCGCTAACATAGCTCGTCGAGGGAGGCGATGGCTTGGCATACGTAACACATGTCCTAACCATCTCAGTCGATGTAGCTTCACGACTTCGTCGATTGATTTCCCGTGTTTACCTAGAACTCTACGCCTAACCTCCATGTTGCTCACCTTATTATGCCACTTTACACGGGAAATAGAGCGCAGGCACCTATGATCAAAGACAGCTAGCCAGCCTTTTCATGTCTTCCACTCTCATTGGCCAGGTCTCACATCTGGCCATAAAGGAGGACGGAGCGCCCTTTGGTCGATAGTCGAACGTCTCGTCTATGCCAGAGTCGGCGTAAACTGGCAAATGCGAAACGAGCCCCCTGTATTCGTGCTGAGATTTCGTCAGAGATCAACCCGTTGGCACTGGCTGATGGTACTTCCCAAATAAGTGAAGCGGTCAACGTGCTCTACCACTTCACTTCCTATTTCTAATCTAGGAGTCAGTGTAGTCCAGTCAGTTCTGTAACATCATCTTGCATTTGGCGGGAGCGAATCGCTCGCATGCCAAACATTCGTAGATTGCGGCTCAAGGTGTTTAGAAGACTCTGCATTTCGTCAGAGTCGTCTCCTAGAAGGACTATATCGTCTGCATATTCTAAGTCAACGAGATTATTCCCAGGTAGCAAGTCAATCCCTGAGTCGCCGAAGTAACTTATGGTTAAGTCCATTAACACATCTATGATGAAGTTGAATAGAAAAGTAGATAATAGGCATCCTTGACGGACACCACTAGTCGTCACCAGTTCAGATGACAGCTCGCCGTAAGCCCTCACCTGGCTGTATGAGTACGAATAGAGTGCCTTAATCATTTCAATATATTTTCTCAGAATTCCCTTTACAGCCAAGCATCTCCAGAGAACTTCCCGATCGACAGAGTCGAATGCTGCCTTTAGGTCAAGAAATATAATGACTGTTGAACGCCGGTAGGAATTCCTATGTTCTAGAATCTGTCGGAGGGTGAAGATATGATCAATACACCCTCTTCCTGGTCTAAAGCCTGCCTGCCAGCACTGACTTATGTCACAGGCTCGTAAGCAATGATAAAGTCATCTATTTCAAACTCATTGCCAACTATATGTCTTAGAACTGAGATCCAATAAATTTGCTGTTTCAAAGAAGTCACTCTATGATATACCCTCTACATCAAGCAGTGGTGTCATGGGAGTCACTCACTCGAAGAATATACACTAGAATTCTGAAGAACATCATCACAAATTAGTTGTGTAATGTTGACACCAAAATGAAAGGAGAATTTTGATAGGGAAAGAAAGACCAGATTTGCAGTATAAAATGATATTCTATTTCACAGGTTCTCATCAGCTGCAAACTACCTGAAATTACAATGGTTATAAATAATAACATTTCATACTTCATTGTCTGAAAGGTAATAGAGAAAGCACTATACGGTGAACGCATCTGGAACATAAGTATTATAATCTAAGTCACCATCAATTTATATACTGTCAAACTATGAAAGAAGAAAAAAAGGGGGGTGAGAGAAGACAGAAAACAGAGAAATCTAATAAACAGTGTCAACATGGCAACTCAAGAAGGTCAAAGTTCATCAATTTGAAAACTTGCTTAGTGAGTTGAGCTCACTAGTGTGTATGACTAATCAGTGTAATGAAAATGATATGGTTACCAAAGGAGTGAGAGATTGACGACACTCTCTTTCTGTATGCACAAGTTTGATTGCAATTGCTTCAGCAAATCGTAGTAGATTCGCTGTCCTTTGTATGCTTAATATTTTGAAGGATTTAGAAATCTCGACAAAATGACCCGTATCCACAAGGTGTCTGGTAAGTGCAGTTAGTAAATACCTGCTTCCTTTTAGGCATAAGTTTCTTGGAATATGCTCTGAAAACCGGTTAGAAACCCTTATTTCTGTCATTCTGTTATGTACTCGTCGCCAAATTATTGTTATATGCTGGTCGAGAATTTAATAGTCCTGATGCAAGGAAAACGGAAATCAGAAGACCACTAGGTTTGCGATGATACTTCTATTTTCCAAACACAAGGAGAATCCAAGTCACACAATAGTGTGAGAGCAAAAATATGTATGAATGTCCGAACAAGTGTGTGAACACAAATGTGAGAGCGAATATTCAAAATGAACAAATCAATAGACGTTCTAACATGATTGGCTAATTATAATGGAATATCGATCCATATATACATAGCAAAATATATCAGACTGTCAAACAAACACACAATTTATATGGATGCATGTCACCTTCCAATGTACTTGCTGACGCAGGTACACGTAAATTTATAAATGCAGTTGGAGGTAACATCAGCTGGGTACTTATCCAGTTTCGATTGCCTTATAGAGCATGTATTACTCTATAGTGTCACCAAATTGGCTGCATGGAAGCATCTCTTTATTGCTCCCTTCAGCCTCTTTTCAATCTTTTGAGATACGGTTTCTCCTTTGTATTGGAGGCAAATGAACACTTTCTTCTTCTCAACTGTTGGAGATTTCTCTTTCTCATCTCTTTCTTTGCTGTACTTTAGGATAAATCCTTTTGGATACCCGTTTTCCTTAAGGCATTTTTCGACAAAGCCTAATTCTTCTTCTGCCTTGTTAAGCGAACATAATTTTCTGGCCCTGTCGTATAGTGTCCTCACTAATCCCCGCTTATAGCTCATAGGGCAGAAGCTGTTATAATGAAGGTATTGTCCGGTCCAAGTTTCTTTCCTGTAGATGGACTTTTCGACCGTTCCAT